CTGTGTCGCTTGGCCTCTCCAGTGCGTGGATTACAAGGCGTGAGCCACCAGCTGCCCGGCTCTTTTTTTTTTTTTTTTTTTGAGATGGAGTCTCACTCTCATTGCCCAGGCTGGAGTTAATGGCGTGATCTCAGCTCACCACAACCTCTGCCTCCCGGGCTTCAAGTGATTTTCCTGCCTAAGCCTCCTGAGTAGCTGGGATTACAGGCATGCACCACCAGGCCCGGCTATTTTTTGTTGTGTTGTTGTTGCATTTTTTATATAGATGGGGTTTCTCCATGTTAGTCAGGCTGATCTTCCCAAACCTAACTCCCGACCTCAGGTGGTCCTCCCGCCTCGGCCTCCCAAAGTGCCGAGATTATAGGCGTGAGCCACAACACCCGACCCAAACTTAACTTTCTCTGTGGTTGGCTTAAAGGAAAAAAAAAAGGTCCAAACTTCTGAGCTTGACATTTCATATCCTCTACAGTTGTATTCAGATTTACATGATTTGTTACTACTCCCATAAACGTCTTAAATTCCAACCAAACATTGCTATTTTTATGCAGTTCGGCCACTTTTTGAGACAAAGTCTCGCTCTGTCACCCAGGCTGGAGTGCAGTGGCATGATCTTTGCTCACTGTAACCTGCCTCCTGGATTCAAGAAATTCTTGTGCCTCAGCCTCCCAAGTAGCAAGTAGCTAGGATTACAGGCATGCACCACCGCCCCCATGTAATTTTTGTATTTTTAGTAGAGATGGTGTTTCACCATCTTGGCCAGGCTGGTCTCAAAACTCCTGGCTGCAAGTGATCTGCCCATCTCGGCCTCCCAAAGTGCTAGGATTACAGGTGTGAGCCACTACACCTGCCTTTTTAAAAAAAAAAAAAAGAGAGAGAGAGACAGAGTCTCACTGCAGCTTCAAACTCCTGGGCTCAAGGAATCCTCCCTCTTCAGCCTCCTGAGTAGTTGGACACTACAGACACATGCCACTAGTCTGATCATTTCTACTTTTGTCTTTGCTGGTACATACTACATTCTCCTGTTTTTCACCAAAGAAAGTAGTCTATATTCCTTGAGCTCCCACGGCTCTTTTGCTAGTACTTCTTATTTTACCCATCACATCTACTTGTATTGTAGTTATTTTGTATAGTTTATCTTCCTGATTAAATTATAAGCTCGGTGGAGGTAAGAATCAGCTCTTCTTTGTCTCCATATCCTTCAGAGTCCCTAGGACTATGTTTCGTTCAGAGTAAGTGCCTAGTACATGTTTTTTGCACTGAATTGACCACAAGTACATGAATTCCATAGTCTAAACTTCACCCCTTTGTTGACTACCTTTCTCTTTCACAGAAAAAAAATATATAAGCCATCAGACTGGAACTTCTAAACTTTCTACTACCAAAGAAACAATCTCTCGTTGTTTAATAAATTGTTTTTGACTGGATTATTCTTTTTTTTCTTCCTTATTTTGTTTTCTTTTTTACTTATTTTTCACTGAATTACTCTAACACATATTGTCTATTTTAGAAACTAAGAATTTGGAGGATGAAGAGAAAGACAATCCTGTGGACAAATGGGATTCTGAAATGAGAGCTGCAGAGAAAGGTAATTGAATTAGTTAAGGAGATAAATGGGTGTGGGAGAAGCCCTTCTGTTCTGAGTTTATTTGTATACTTAGGTGAGATTAAGTTAGGTAGAATTTTCAATAAAACAGATGATTTTTGTGGCAACATTCTAATATGTTTGTTCTGTTTTTTTTTTTTTTCTTTTTTCTTTTTCCAAAGAATTGGAACAGCTGAAAACTGAAGAAGAGGAGCTTCAAAGGTCAGCCTTTAATCCAAGTGTTAGAAAATATAATGCTAAACTATAGAAGGCTAGATGACTTCCTGCCTCCAGAGACTGACAAAATTGGGGACATGAGTCTTGACTTAGGCTGACTCAGGGCTTCTCTACTTTGAATGGAAACCTAGAATCCATCTTAGTCAACAGTAGTTTTGAAGCACTTACTGTTTACAGGGCATTTATCCACCACAGTGTTTCTCAAGCTTGAATACTACCAGTATCCTTTTTATTTAATAAATATAAATATAAACAAGTATAAAATGAACTATATATTTCTTAGGCCTATGAATCTCATTCAACTATAAGTCTAAAAGAAAGTAAATAGAAATAATGACAAAACCACTAAAATTCTAGTTGACAACATTAATTTGACAGGTGACAGTGTTTGGCTGAAATTAAATTGATGCTAGCAAAATGATTAACAAAGATGTGTTCTGTTTAGCTGTAACAACTAAACAAAACCAAATACAGGCCAAAAAAAGCAAAACTGTGACATGTCTCAGTTTTAAAGTAGATCTTATCTACATTATGTTTATATTTTTATATTTTTGCTTTTTATCAAAAATATAAATGTAATACTTAAACATTATCTTAACATGTGAATCCCAAGGATATCTTCATGGATCCTAATTTGAAAAACAATCATTTATGCCTTTCCCAGGTAGACGCACTTTTAAATTAATGCTTATTTAAAAAAACAAACAAACAAACAAACAAAGAATGCAGAAATGGATGCCATATACCTAACATTATTACCTCAATGGGGAGTCACGTAGCATGTGACTTCTTATTATAAACCTTTTATATTGATAGAGTCTGAATTCTCTAACAAAAGCCTTATCTCTCTCTGAATACCTGCTTTTATTTGCAGAAATCTCTTAGAACTGGAGGTACAAAAAGAGCAGACCCTTGCTCAAATAGACTTTATGCAAAAACAAAGAAATAGAACTGAAGAGCTGCTGGATCAGTTGAGGTAAGGAAATGCAGGTGTCATTTGTTTGTGTTTTATTCTGTACCTTGTGGTTGTCTGAAGCAACTGGAGCAATTGATGTAATTTTAATGTGTTGCTGTTCTTAACCTATACAGTGCTGTTTCAAAAAGAGTCAGTGTACTCAGCAGTAAGTTGAAAATAGAGTAGAAGAACTATGGAATTATAATTTCTCAATATTTTATACTTTTCATTGCCTAGACTTGGTGTTTCTCCGATATACAACTCAAGATTGAGTTCTTAGTTATTTCAAAAGCTTAAGTTTGTACATTCACAATATTTGAATTGAAATATTGTCTCCCAGTCCAGTGGAAAAACATTAGCAGCTGCTGTTGGTACTGTTTGGGTGGTATCAGAAGTTCTCTTTTATCTTAATTTTAAAAATGCTTTTTAAAAATCTTGTTTATCTCTCTTCAGCTTGTCTGAGTGGGATGTTGTTGAGTGGAGTGATGATCAAGCTGTATTCACCTTTGTTTATGACACAGTACAACTCACCATCACCTTTGAAGAGTCAGTTGGTAAGGAGCCAAAGTGAGAGAATTCCTTTACAAAAAAATAAATGGCTACACTCACTAAAGATTCAAATCTTTATTTTACTATACTGATAACTGTTGACATGATGAGAGCACTGCTGAAAGTCTTAGAAGAGTCAATCATAAATAAAAATTTTGCTATCAAAATAATGGATAAAATAGACTCATGTCTATGTACTGAATTTCTTTCTTTTCATCTCCATCTTTCGTGATAGAGAATTTACCCTAATGACTGGTGATTCTTCTTCTTCTTTTTTTTTTTTCTTTTTTTACTTAAGAGTGAGGCCCTGCACGCCTATAATCCCAGGACTTTGGGAGGCTGAGGCAGGGGGATCACCTGAGGTCAGGAGTTTGAAACCAGCCTGGCTAACATGATGAGACCCCCGTCTCTACTAAAACTACAAAAAATTAGCTGGGCATGCACCTGTAATCACAGCTACTCGGGAAGCTGAGACCGGAGAATCACTTGAACCCAGGAGGTGGAGCTTGCAGTGAGCCAAGATCGCGCCACTGCACTCCAGCATGGGCAACAGAGCGAAACTCTGTCTCAAAAAAAGAAGTGAGGCCCTAACAAGCTAATTGGAAGTTCTGTGTGTATAGGTGGGTTTATCATCTAAAAGGATGAAATCACTGTATAGGGTGGAAATCACTATATGGTAACTGGACAGAGGCCCAGCTGTTTTGTTGGAGTTTACTAATTGTCAGTCTCTTTTAGGTCTTTTCTCTTTAACTAATCAGTGTCAACATGGCCAACCATGAGCAAACATGGCCGTATTGAAACTTAGGATCTTCACAATCTCTGGGCCTCTAAACCGGATTCTCCTTGAAAGTTTCTTTTCTCCATGAATAGTATTACCTTCTGTCCAGGTCCAAAATTAAAACTTAGGAATCACTCTATACCTCTTTCTCCCTCGCTGTACATAATTCAAATCATCAGTACGACATGCTGTTTTTGTTTTTGTTTTTATTTATGTATTTATTTTTTTGAGACAGTCTCAGTCTGCCACCCAGGCTGAAGTGCAGTAGTGCAATCTCTGCTCACTGTAACCTCTGCCTCCCAGGTTCAAGTGATTCTCCTGCCTCAGCCTTCCAAGTAGCTGGGATTACAGGCTTGTGCCACCATACCTGGCTAATTTTTTTATTTTCTGTGGAGATGGGGTTTCACCATGTTGTCCAGGCTGGTCTCAACTCCTGACCTCAAGCGATTTACCCCCCTTGGCCTCCCAAAATGCTGGATTACAGGCATGAGCCACAGTGCCCAACCTACTGATTTTAGTTTCTAATACTCATCCACTGTTTTTCATCTGTTCTGTCAATAATCATCTCTAACCTAGATGACTACAGTAACATTCCAACTGGACTTTATGGATCTTCTCCCTGAAGCTACAGTGATTATTGAAAATCTGACTATGCACCTATTACTCTTAGGCTAATGATCAAAGTATTTGATCATTCAATTCATTGAAAAATTCAATTCATTGCCTGAACTGAATTTTTCTCCTTTTCCTGTCTCATACTACCTTCCTACCTCTGCACACTGGCCACAGTGGACTTCTTTTATTTCCTTAAATGATCATGGTCTTTCCTGCTCAGCTGAATTTATCCTGTCTCAACACCTTCATGCTGATGTTTCCTATGCCCGAACGCTCTTTTCCCCCACTTCACTAATGAACTCCTACTAACAATTGTAAGAGCTCAGCTCTCGGTGATCAGTTTCTTGCCCTTCTGTTGTATGTTCTTGCTTCCTGTGGTTTTCCTAAATAGTGCTTATCATAGTTTGTAGTTCTTGCTGTGTTTATTAGTGCAGTTATCTGTGCATCTCCCTGAGTTGTAAGCTTCTTAAGGGCACAGGTTGAGTATGCTGTTTTTCTCATGGTATCCACAGTACCTAACACATAGAAAATATATAACAAAGCATTCAACAAAGAGAAAATAATCAATTTAGGAGACAGAGATAACCCTAGAGTCTGGAGGAACTAGCAGCTGTCTCAGCTACCTAAAACGTATTATAGCAATGCTAAAAGCATAACTCGTTTTTACTGTATTTATACAAGGAGAGTAGTTGTAGGGAGATCATAGCCATTTTCCTTATATGATTGCTGAAAATAAAATTATCTTTGCACAGAAGTTAGGGGTTAAAAGAGGAGGCCTTAACAAATATAGCTGTGTACTACCTTTTAAATGTCCTTCAAAGACATACCAATCAGTGTAGTTGAACAGTCTCAGTGGAGACTTTACTAGATACAGAGAATAATGATTCAAGGATAACCCTTCAACTTCCTGTGGAAAAAAACTCTGCTACGCAGAAGGAGTAGGATTCTAAAGTACTGAGTTTTATGTGACTTCTAATCAGGTAGTTAAAAAAAAAAAAAAAAAAAAGCCCGAGCAATGGTGGGGCTTTCCATGGCCTTTAATCCCAAACACTTTTTGGGGAGGCCCAAGGGGTGGCGCCGGAAATCAGAAAGTCCCAAGGAAGGAATCGGAGAAACCAATCCTGGGCTAAAACATGGTGAAAACCCCCATCTCTACTAAAAAAACAAAAAAAATTATGCCAGGGGTGTGGGGTGGCACGTGCCCCTGGTGTCCCCCAGCTTACTTGGAGGGCCTGGGAAAGGGCAGAAAGAATTTTGAAAAAACCCATGGGAGGCGGAGCCCCTTCGGGCCAAGTGAGCCAAAGACCCCAACAACATTGCAACCTCCAACCCTGGGGGGGACAAAAGTGAGACTGCCTATCCTAAAAAAATTTTTTAAAAATCATTATGCCCCTGGTTCCTTTTTCCTAGTGTCCCCTTTTTCCTGGACAAGCCGTTATAGGGAAGAAAATTGTTGATGTAATTTTTCAATCCTCCGTTTGGAAACCGGTAAAGTTTGAAAAAAAAACATTTAAGGCCTCTTAAAAAATTTGGTTTTGGGGCTGGGGGCACTAATGAAGGAAAAAACCCTCCATGCCCCTTTAATCCCCCAAGCACTTTGGGGAAAAGGCGAGGCGGGTGGGGAATCCCAGGGGTTCAGGAGGTTTTTGGACCAACACCCTGACAAACCATGGGTGGGGAAACCCCATTCCTCCCTGTGCCCCTAAAAAAAACAAAAACTAGCCCAGGTAAGGGGGCGCCCCCTATGTAAGCCCCCAAGCCTACTCCAGGAAGGCCCCCTGAGGCAGACAGAAAATCACTTTTTTGGAAACATGGGAGCTGCAGGTTTGGTAGTGAGGCCAAGGGATCACGGCCACCCCCTTGCATCTTCCCAGGCCCGGGGTTGGGAAACCAGAGTTGAGCCTTGGTTCCCAAAAGATAAATAAATAAAAATAAAGGCCAGGCGCAGTGGGGCCTCATAGCCTGTTAATCTCCCCAGCACTTTTTGGGGAAGGCCCGAAGGTGGGGGTGAATATGGAGAAGTCAGGAAATTCAAAGACCATCCGGGGAAACAAACGGTTGGAAACCCATCTTCTACCCTAAATACAAAAAAAAAAATTACCCCCAGGTTGTTGGGGCGGTGCCCCTGGGTAGTCCCACCCTAACCTGGAGACAAAAGGCCTGAACAAGGAGAAGGCGTGGGAACCGCAGCCAGG